CCCCCACTGTGAAGTTCGAAGTCAACTAAAGAGCCAATGATAACTATTAAAACTCCTGCCATTTGAAATAAATAAATATATAAATAACCCCAATTAGCAAAAAAAGAAGGATTGATTTAAAGGAGTTCGCGATTACAATTTATAAATATTCGACTCTTCTTCCTTATGAACTTTTGTTGAAATAAAAGGCTATGGAAAAGTATTAGAAGATTAGATTTTGTGGTAAGAGAAGTAGCGAAGAGTAGCGAATAAAGGTAGGTATTTTAGTTCACGAATAAGCTATGTGACGAAGGAAGAAGTGTGAGTAGGATAGATTATATGATTAGATGTTACACGGACCTTTACCGACTTGACCCTAACCCTTCATATAAGTCTTCTTGGTTAATTGCTAATATTAATGACTCTTTTATTCTATTTGGCCTCTAAAGTTAGTGAAAGCACTGCGACCTTGACCGTATTTCGCAATTCCAATTGCCCTAATCTCGAACTCTTCTTTAAAAAGGAGCTGGATGGTATAGTCCAAAGGTAGTTTTTTCAATTCTCTCCTCTCGGGTGCAGTGATAAATCCGAACACTTTCTATGGAGTGGTGTAACTCAAAGATATGAGTTCATTTTGAGTTTGCTCAGGGCGGTTAAACGGAAAATTCCATTTCATGAAACCATTTACTGGGAATCAGATAGCTGCCCATCCGAATAAGGACTTTCAGAAAACCCCGGTACTACCTGATCATCTGCAAATCAAATTCTGTTTTTAAGATAACCGATATGATAAAATAATGTATCGCTTAGGTAATTGGAGAGCATAAACTTCCTTAAATTTGCAGCTGATTCATAAATCCTAACAATAACTCGACAGACACACAGTGTAAACAAGAATTTTAATCTTGTTGGTGGCATCGTGTCCATGTGCTCAAGCAATTCATTTATATGCCTTTCTTATCATATATATGGCAAAATAATTGATAATAGAGAACGATTTGCTGAGGTTCATTTTCTCTATCTTCTTTCATTAAATCTCATCTTCCCTCTACTACTCTCTTGAAATGGACGGTTCTCAAGAACCAAGACGTTATCGCACCATATTGAACATTAATCATCCAAAATCCATTTTAGTTCACTTCATTCAATTTAAGAATTTGGAACGGATTTAAAGCGAAAGCTTATTTTTTACCCACGAAAGCGTTATTGAAAGTATCTTTCAAGGGGCAAATAAGGACTGTTAGTTCATGTCTAAGTTAGGTAAGCAAAAGGAAAAATTAGATTGGTTATTAGAATTTCCATTAGGGAATTATGTTTGAGTCATGTCTTCTTCTAATGCTATTAGTCATTTACACCTTTGCAGAATGAGACACCTTAGATTTGCCAATCATTTTGACCAATGCAGTTTACGACTGGAGAAATTAGCAACTTATTGTTAACTGTGCATAAGCTCTTTACTTGTTAGAGTAAGCTAAAATGTATGGACGTTTATTTAGCATAACTTCGAGAACATTCCTGAAGTTTGCTTACCACCGTGTCATTACCAAATCAAGAGGATATGAGGCAACCTTGGTGGCTAATGAACTTATTGCAGGTTCAAAGCTCCAATTAGTATCGCTGGAATTCATGATTGCTCATATGGGTTACGCAATAGACTTACCTCCACGCGGGGCACCCTGGGCAACGTATACTCATACGGCAAGAAAGTCTGTTAACCGGCAGTTGACATCTGGCTTCTAACTACCATCACCCCACTGTATGTCATACTCGACTACTTCACGGTACTCACTTCACCTTTTTTCTACCTTTGTGTCTGTCACTTTTACATCTTTGAAACACTCTTCTGTTCCCCCCCCCCTCTCTCGAATTTTTTTCACTTTGCTACTTCTTCTCCTCTGTGAGGCCTGAAGTCACCTAAAGGGCTATTGAAACTATCAAAATGCCTGCCATTTGATATAAATGATTGCTCATATAGCATGCGTACTCGAAGCTCCTTCAATTTGAAGTGACTTGCTGATAGCATAATCGATTTTTATTTACTGCTCTCGATGCAATCTTGAAGTTGATCAAATTGGCAGCATTCAATGTTTCGCATAAATATGTGGTAACATAAATACATCATTCTTGATATAAAAACAATGGAAATAAAGCCAGTGAGATAATTTTCCACTTATTTTGAAAGCTGATCGAATTTAGAGATTTCATCACTCTTGAAGTGAGTTATTGATTATAGAGTTTATTGCTCGTATCCGTCTCATGAGATGCGTTTCATCGCCATTAGGATTTCGAGTCGTTGACATTACTGTGCTTTGAGCAACCAACACTCATGCGGTGGTGCCAAGATTTCCATTTGCCGCTTCTTGAAATGACGTTAGTTAACATATTCCATGGAATTAAGATATCGTTTGTGGCTTACAAGGTGAATTAAAGGATGCTTCACTACTTCAAGCTTTTTAGGAGGTTCCCTTTTGTGAAAATCTGAGCGCCCTTTTTAAGAGCAGCTCTGTATATATGAAAAAAGTGACAAAAGAATTAATGGAAAAGTTCTTGTTCACCTTGATGTATCGCATTTGAAGGTTGCAAGGAGACTAGACGATCTGTTGTGATCTAAGTAATACATAAATGGAATTAATCGATACACCTACGGTTCGGTTATGTGGCGGTTGAGTAGAAGTTCTCAAAAGCAATTTTTCCTTCTCTTTTTTATATCGTCTTTTGCAATTCTCTTCCGCATCAGGTACCGAGCATATTATCTCTTTCTTAAGTTCTAAAGGTTGAACTCGTCTTTCTGCCATATTCTCTAATTTGAGAATCGGAGGAGGAACCTAGATAAAGTCAAAAAAATATAATTACTTTAATGACTTATTTAATCGTTTTTTTTACTATAGAGTTATCCCTCACCAGCTTCCTTCTACAACTATCAGAACCTTTCACTTGAAACGATTTCAATTCATATGCATCAGTACTCTCAGAGGAATCAGACGAAGCATATGCCCCTAAAAATGAACTTTGTGGTGAGCGGGATAAATCTACGAACCCTCATGTTTTGAATGACTAGTCTAAAAGTTGAAAATGGTAAAATATGAATTGTGAACAGCTTTGTGAATATGTCGTGTAATTATAAATCTCGCCTTTTGTTCACGGCGGTGGATTTTCTTCTGTGATCCAGGAAATTTTGTTGAACTCTTTTGATAATTTTGGGTTCGTTTAGATAAGGGATCTATCCTCTCACCAATCCGATGGGCTGACAGAAACGAGATCATGAAATAATGTTTAGATTATCTTGTAGGGAAAATTTTAAATATAGCAGACCAGTTTAACCGTGTTAGTTAAGAGATTCGATGTCATTCCCATAACCGAAAGTGATTCATTTAAAATACTGTTTCAAATTTACCATGCTTAAGAGTTTTGTTTCAATATGTGAGGCCATATATTGTATAAATATTAGATTGAAATATCGTTTTCGTTGCTAAATCCTCATGTGAGCTTCTCAGTCAGAGAGACATTACTTCTGTTGAATCTCTAATAATGACAAATGATTTTATTCTAAGTTAATAATTAAATCTATTTGAATGTGCGTTAAATGAAACATTGTTTTCATTTGGCTGAAGAGTCCATGATGTATTGAAATAACATTTACATTTTGTATAAAATGTTATGTCAAACGAGGATCACAATAATTGTTAAGGTACTCGATTGATGGAAAAATTGTGTAGAGGAAAAAAATGTGTAAGTTCAGCTGATAGAGAAAATAGACCTCATTTTATTATATTCTAATCAGTTGCTTTAGGTGCTGTTACTCTTGTGGGTCACGTTATCGCTGTGTGCATCATCATATGCCTGCATGTCTGCTCACCAGGATTGGGAGGTGCGGCCCTACAACTCTGTGTGCAGCGACCGTACGAACAGTGACCAATCATCAACCTCTGTTTAACCTAATCCCCCATCCTGATCATGATTAAGCCCCCTACGTGTACACTTTATCCGCAATATACGTCCTGAATAAACGTGCTCCTTGCTACACGTCTGTTTCCTTTCATAGCTGGGCTATAGCTTAGTTGGTTCTGGGAGTTCGGCTAGTTGTTGGAGAATCTGCCATAGAGATTTCCGAGTCAGTCAGGCTTTAATAAAGTAGCAATCCGCTACAGTCTTTTAACTCAAACTCCCAACCTGAATGCTAGCCGTTTATCAAAGAACGTGAAAGTAGGCAATTCGAATTTCTTCCTCCCAACACGGGTTACCCCTGCCAAGTACTTCCGTGTAAATTAAACCTACAACCTCTTCCTCCTCTTCCACCTCATTCAATGCCACCTGGCTAAGAGGCAAGCGGTTCCTTTCTTTCACACTTTGGAAGGCTGTCTTATTATCCTGTTAGTCCTAGGAAGAGAGGTAGTTCTTGGAAAAGGAATCTAGCAAAATTTAGTCGCCCCTGTTAAAGTAATTTTAAAGTAGAATTTGTGCTCCGTTGAAAGGAAGAAATTGGTGAAAACCGATAGAGGTTTTTAACAACCGATGTTCAGTACAAATTAGCGCTATCATGTAAATTATATAAAGCTCGAATCATTTGTTTTATTTGCATCTTTGCAAAAAGTTTGATTCATTATCCTATTCAATCCAATACTATTACCAGCTTGGCATAAATGCAAAGACGAAGAAGACCAAAATCGATATATTGATTCTCGATTTTTTGACATTCCATGCATACTTACTACTGCCTTATAGTTGTAAGAATTCAGTGCTCGAATCGTATTCAGGGAGAATTTTAATTACCAAATGAGAATCTAGTTTCTATCGGCTATGCCGAAAAAAAGATATTAAATTGTCATTAAACTTGATGCCAATTTGTTCAATTTAACAGTCTTATTAAAATTTGAATTTATTGACAAAAAATAGGTTAGTAAAGCGTTATCCTCAATTTTAATCTAAATCGTGGTTAAGCCGGTTCAATTTGCTTACCAGACAATAGAATATTATCCTCATTGTTATACGAATAGAAGATCGATAGAATAATTCGTTAGGAGTTGAGTAAAATAAATCTAACGGATTTATGCAATTAGGAGCTATGCTCAACAAGTACCAGACATCCGTAACTAAAGATTCAACAAATTTGGCTAGATATTCCGTCCAAGGGCAAGCATGATCTCAAATGCTAGTCTTTCACGAATGAGAAGCCTAATCAATCGGTCTCTGTAAGATAGAAACGAAATGGGGGAAGAATGTGTTACTGACAGGCTTTGTCTACTGTGATGTGCCATTCACCTCGAGGGCAAAAAAGTGTGCAAATACTACGCCGACCAAGCAGATACTTGAAGCTGGATGTACAGATACTATTGGCCAATTTCGAGTGCCATATGAACAGGTGTCTCAAACAAGGGTAGACTGCTTGCATACTTGCTTAATTAACAATGTGGGTGCAGGAGGAGTTTTCGTTTCGATGGTAATCCTCATTTCTTTCCTACAACATTTTGCAACTTTTCATTTTATTTTTCCACCTTCAAGTTAAATCATAAGCTTGCCAACAGTTAGCGTCTTCTTTTCATGAAAGCCCGTTTTTGTGCATCAAATTAATTATAATTAACATTTTTCATTTCATTAATTAATTAAATAATTAATTATGTTTAGTTGAATTTCATAAATATTAGTTTGTTAAATAGAATTTAATTTTCAAGTTCATAGTCATAAATATTATTGGTAAAAGGCCTCTTATTAACACTATCTGAAGCTCAAAGGTCAGTTTACGTTGAATTTGTAGGTCGCGTTCATCCTTCTGTGGGACACGTTATCGCTCTGTGCGTCATCGTATGCCTGCATGTCTGCTCGCCAGGATTGGGAGGTGCGGCCCTACAACTCTGTGTGCAGCGACCGTACGAACAGTGACCAATCATCAACCTCTGTTTAACCTAATCCCCCATCCTGATCATGAGTAGCTCCTTGCGTGTACACTTGATCTGCAATATTCGTCCTGAATAAACGTGCTCCGTGCTACACGTCTGTTTCCTTTATAACTGGGCTATAGCTTAGCTGGTTTTGGGAGTCTAGCTAGATGTAGGAGGATCTGCCATAGAGATTTCTGAGTCAGTCAGGCTTTAATAAGGTTGCAATCCGCTACACTCTTTTAAATGCATAGGCGTCTACTCTAACAACTAACATAATTCGTCATCTATTTATAGATGGCCAAAATTCGATTAAAAAATTATCTCCATATATAAACGCAACGGTCTACACTAACGTATTACCCTAACATTGTCAATTTTCGATCATTCGATTTTTCGTGGCCAGTTAGCAGTTAAAAAGCGGTAGCCTTTTTGAAACAAAAAGGGCATAATGATAGTAAATATAAGAAAATTGCAAATTCTTCTGTTCGCTTCAATTATTTTTGTTCAACAACAATGCGAATTTTTAACATTCGACATATAAAGTAAAATGGAAATTCTAATGTATTGTTTTCATGCTAACCTTCATCGGAACCTTTAGCTTCATCTTTTGGACTTGACTCCGAATCGTTGATTAGTTTCTAAAGGATAAATCCGAAATTTTATAAGCTTCTGTAATCCTAAATCGAAACGCATTATAAAATTAAAGATAATCCAATATGTAACAAGTAAAGGTGTGAGAAATTTTCAGTTAATGACCCAACAATTCTACGCAGCTTGAAATCAGGTTGATGACGATTTAGATTACGGATCTACTTATGTATTGGGTTTTGAGAAAAAAAAGTCGCTAAAAGTTAATTGATCATATTTATAATGAGCTAAATATAAACGATTGATAGAAAAATCGCTTATCAAAACGGCAAGAAATAGGTAGAAATCTAGAGTTAAACGCGTTTCAGTGCTGTGGGAAAATGTTGACACACAAAATGATCTCAATTTAAGAGAACGAGTGTGGCTTATCAACTCGGAAATTATGTTTTAAAGAGTCAAATACAGGTACATTCTTAAAATTTTGACCCGTATAAATCAATGTTACTACAAGTTATTAAATTCAATTAGCGTAAAAAGACTGTTTAGTCAAATCAATCCCATTTGAACTATTCAAAGATTTATTAAACTTTGTTTCACTAATCCATAACATTTTATCCTAAACTTGTGAACCAATTGAAATTAAAGCAGCCTTCACAATCTGTTTCTGGTGTAAAAAGAGCAAAAGACATCTTGTGAAAACTTATTGAGATCCCTTTCTTAATAAGATCTGTAAATATACTTGCTAACAAATCCATAAAAGATTTGAGGAAGGATGGTTAGATGAAAGTGAGATTTAATAAATGAAAAACATGCCATAAATAAACGCGATATATTCTTAAAAACCCCCTGAGATTTAAAACAGAAAATGATTGATAATTGAGTCATTTAAGATTAATTCTTTACATTTACAATTGCTCAGTGAAAAAACTTTCCATGTAGACAAGTGAAAATGAATGAAAGCCGAAATTAAATTAAAATTGGCCTCAACGTGTTTATCGTGACTGTAGTAAGTTGCCGATGGTTTAAATTTCAAGTTTCGCGGCATTTAGCACTTAGAGTTTATTAAAACAACAGAATCGCAACAGGACCCACAAGTAAGTATTAGAAATTCAATTTAAAAAATAGAATTTCATCTTACATTTTATGCAGCGTGTCGATTTAAACACTTCCTCAACAATGATGCCACATCAACTAAGCTCCTTTTTAAATTGTTTTCAAATTTAATTTTACACCTTGGAAACCTCAAGTCGAAAATTGTTGCAGGAACTAAAACTAAATTTTACCCGCAAGGAACCGGGGGAGTTTTTGTGGTGGCAGATTTATGTTCACTATTTTGTAACTGAGCCCTTTTATAAAAACTGTGAAATTTATACCCATGTGAGTACAAAGGCGTACAAAGGCGTTTTAAGAAATCTGTAAACTGCTAACCAAGCTTGAAGTGAGGCAAATGTGCAAATGCTCTTTTTAACAGTTTTATCACCATGAACAATGAAAATATTCACTTGCAAGTCTAAGAATAGTTTGAAGTACTTATCTCGAGTTTTGGTGGCTAGACAGAATGCAACATCATAAAATACACTCTAGACGACTAAATAAGTTCATTAGAATAAACCACGAGGAGGATAAATTCAATTCAAGAGAAAATTAAATGAACAAATTAGGCAGGTTTCGACAGGCTAATGCTGTATATTTCACTTATATTTAATTATTATAACACAGCAAAGATGACGAAACTAAATGTCATTGGATGCTGTGTCAGGTTGAGGCTTTACATGTTATTGAATTTAAGGGTGGTTATAATGTATGGCAATGTAGGTTGGTTTTTTTCTCAGCTCTTAGCTGATTACTATCGCAACTATATATTCTATCAACCAAGAGACATTTTGTAGAGAGGCGCGCATTTTCAAATCACATGCAAATACCACCCATCGTTCGACTTAGAAACTGAGCACGACTCAAGTGAATTCGTCTGTTTTTTTTGCTAAATTAATCCAAAGGAATATATTAATTTCGTTTTATTGATGCGCATTGTGAATACAAACACTGCATAATAATAATAATAATTTCCGTGCCCATTTTCAAACTTTGAGCCATCTGATGATAAACTCAACTTCTGTCAGGTCCCGTATTGCTCAAACTTAGCAGCTGGATTAACCAATCCACTTTGCAAAGTGTTCAAGAGGCGCTGAACCCAAGTACAATAATTTCATCATGAAATATTCTAGGCTACATTAATATAATAATAATACTATTTTATTTTAACTAACTAAGCACTGATTAATCCAAATAAGGGATTTAGAGATGGAAATCGGAAAAAACCGCGACTAAGGAAAAAGTATCGAGAGAAGCCTCTTCAGTCGTTTTACGGATTTAGGTGGTAGATCTTTACTTAATGATTAGTTCACTGTTACAAGACCCTGATTTCGTTCTCTGGCCTAATAAGTAATTTCTCGTAACTAATGATCAGTGGTTATTGGTTGATGTATAAATTAGCATGCTTAGTTTAACTGCTTGTATTTATTTTGTCAACCAGTAGAATGGAAAGACAATGTTCACTTTCTTGCGTGATTCTAACCTTCTTAAAGCCATTCGCAGTTTGATGGTTAAAGGTATTTTGAACCCATAGGAATTCAGTCATGGTGAACTTCAAGAATAATACTGCTGACAACATTAAAATGAAACAGGTCGGGTTTAAATTCAACCCATGAATGCACCATTTCTATGTTTTACTCTCCTTGGCAAGATTAAGAATTATAAAAAGCTCTCACTCGAATAGCCATTAGTTGCCTCCGATGCAAAAGTTGACGATAATCATAGTCAGATCGAATAAGTCCATCTCGAGTATAACTATTATAGTTCCAGTCAGAGGTGGAGGTGTAGTCACTGGAAGTTTCGGAATCCGTTTCCACTTCATCAAAACGGGCCAGAGGCGGAATGCCGGGCTGGACTAGAGAATGGCGATATTTATGGAGGTCAGTTCTTTGATATGAACCTTTTGTTTCAACTGAGAGAACTGAGACTCTAGAGGTTTCTAGATTATTAAAATAAGTCGCCATTTGAATATGTATTTATATTTGCGAAGCAAACTTAAGGAATAAAATTAAGTGGTTTAGTAATACCTTAATCATGACTATGCACCCTGTAAATAAATATTTTTATATCTATTAGGTTAGTCGATCAAATCAGAAGACGATATATCAACGTTCATCCGTGTGCATTCGTTGAATTAGAATGTCATTGCGCTAGACAGGTTGGTAGAATTCTAGCTTCCCGTAGCAGAAGCTTCAAGATAGCTTTCCTCTAATTGCATTAACTCTTGTCAAAACTCACCATTAAAGGGCTTGGAAAAACTGCATAAAGTATTTGAAATCGAAGAGGAAATATTCTCCCCCCCCCCTCCCCCCTCC